GTCCTCCCCTCTGTGCCCTCTGCCAGGCAGCTACCACTCCCTCCTCCTGCCCTCTCCCTTCCTCTCCTCCCCCTCCTGCTGCTCGGCCTTACGGTCTCCCGCCTCCCCCTCCCTGCTTCCTCCGCCCGCCAGCCCAGCTGCTCCCTCCCCGCCGTCTGCGCCTCCTCTCTCCCCGGGATTTCCTGGCGGGAGACTGGCTCCGCGCAGCCCTGGCGCACGCGGCAGTGCCTGCGGGGACGCCTCTGGAAGAGGCTCCTCAGCGAGTTGTCTGATCTCCGCAACTCCTCAGCCTCCAGCCCATGACGAGGCGGGGATGGGAGAAAGCAGCAGCCTAAAGATGCTGGTTCCCTACATTAACGGGTGATGCAGTGTTAGTATTTGGGGTGGGCAAACCTGGCAGGCACTAGCCATAACAAACCTTGGGCGCCCCATTTCATAAATCCACCCTTCCTTTTCCTAGCATGCGAGGGCAACAGCGACTGGCTCCCGATTGCTGCATTAACTCTGTTGCTGCTGTTAAATAGGCAACATTTGTAATTCAGTCCACAGTAATCAGCCCTTTAATGCCAGCCATCACTCCACAGCTCCTTCGTGCGCTGGAATGAACACTTCGACCCCTTTCTCTCAGAGCAAAAGAGAACAAGTCACTACATTCATGAGTAAGGGTCACTAAGACTTTCACTGACAGCGGTCAGCAATCATATCTGCCATAGTGAATAGTGATAGAGGAGGGAACCGCTGAAATTAATATGCTTCTGACTCATTATTATTTGGTATTTATATTACCACAGCTCTCAGAGGCCCCCTTGTGTGGGGAGCTGTAGGAGAGAAAGGCTTTTCCCCAGATAATTTATCTCTTGTATAATCATTCATCAGTACAGGGCTGCAAGCCAGGTATAGGATACTCATATTTAAAGATCACCTTTCCTCCTAAAGCCCTTTATAAAAGGGAATACAAATTATTCACAGGGATCACTTCATCCACTACTGAAATGCAGAGGCAGCACACAGCAAAGCTACAGAATTGTAGGCAAGGGAATATATCCAATAAGAACTGTGGGGAAATTTAGGTCACCAGAATATAATTAACAGTTGGAATTAGACACACTAAGCCACCTATGTCAGCAGCCCTCAAACTGTGGCATGAGATCTTTAATAAACAAAAGGGATCATTTTACATCTCATCCAATAGTGCCTTCTGCTTCAGAAGTGACTCAGAATTAAGAGTGCCACCCATATTGCTGAATCACACATAACAGTTCCAGTAGCAGCCAACCACTTAGCAAGCTCTCATCCAAGTACTGACTCACTACAGTCCTGCATAACTCATGAGATCTGACACATGGTGTCATTGCAGACATTTCTGTTCCCAGTGGGTACAATTAAAGAGAACCGCTTCTGACTCTTTGCCTTACACAGTGGGCCAGATTAGCTATCCAGAACAGTGGAGTCTGGTGACACCCCATATGCCTCTAACCAGGAGGTTCTAGAGAAAGGCTCCTCAGGGAAATGTTTAAGATTTTGGATGAAAAATTGTGCAATACTGTGGATTTTAATCATGTTTCAAATCTAAGTACATTGTGCTCAAGTGGAAATACTTTCTAGACAGCAGTAGAGTGCTGGGTCCTGAAGAAGGTGCACACTCAGGTAAAACCTTTTATAAGCCCTGCCTCATTCCATAGTCACCTTCAAACATAAAAGGCTTCCTATGTGGCCCTGGCTCATTCCATAGGTGTCTTCAGTCATCATATAGAATGCTGTTCCATATGTTCTTTCAAAGACTGGAGCTTCCATTCAGTTTGCTAGCACAAAAGCAGTAGTGACAGAACAGTGGGAAGGTTATTTAAAAACAAAAACATTGTGTTAGGGTAGAATTAGTGTGCATAGGTGAAATAGGTTTTTAACATTATGACTTGCTCATATCAAAATGAATTTTCACCAGATCAGACCACTTAAAAGTGATATCTTACTCTGTGCCAGATTTCTACTGTTCTACTTCAATTGTTATTGAGTCTCTGAAGCTATTTTTAAAAACCTCTGAATTTTTCTTGTATAATGTAAAAGTGTATTTTCCCCTCACTGCCTTCAGACTCAAATGGCTAAGTAGTTTTACCTCAACTTAAAAAAAGAGAAAGAAAACAAGACAGACAAGACCTGCTAACTTTCAGACTCAAAGTTTGACTAAGATCATAAACAGTTAAAAAAATTGGAATGAAAAAGCTTAGACAACCTTAGCTAACAACTTACATTCACTAACTCTACTAAATAATATAAACAACATGTTAAGTTTTGTACCTTCAACAGTACCCTTCTTTTAATAAAACTGGCCTATTGGAATCAAAGATACCTCCACATCAAAACCCATTTCTTATTGGTAAGTAAAAAGTCTTCTGGCAAAAATCAGACTTCTGGCCTGCGGGGTAGGACTAAAACAGAACTTCCAATGTGTGCACTTCTGATTTAGTCCCTGAGCTAAAAAGGGACTTCTGGGACAAATACAGCTTTCTGAGTGGTCCATAACCATGGCTGGAAAGCACAACATGTCAAAAGCAAATGAAGTCTTTTAGTTGGTTGAGACAAGCATAAAGGCAAAGTTTAATGATACTTAATAAGACAACACAATAGCATTTATTTTATTCCAACCTGAAAAAAGTAGTAAAATAAACCTAACTGTATCTTGAGAAGTGTAGGGAAAAAACTTATGTATTACAGAAAGAAAGAGAAAGGTTATAGTGTGATCAGTGGGACAAGTGAGTTAGTCTTCTACAATTACATTGTACATTTAACTAGCATTTCTGAAATAAGAGCACTGATCACAATTGTACTAATGGAGAAAGGAGATGTAATGTCATCATAAAAAGAAAGTCTATGCTTGCATATAGAGCATCCCTGGAGCGAACCACTGACCCACTGTGAAGAGAGGTGGGCAGCATTCAGTGGGAAGCAAGAAAAGAATGGGGGCTATATGTGACTATAGAAGAGCAAACTGAAGAGATTGTGGTAGAGAAAGCTCACAGCTTGTTTTCTCTCCTTGCTTCAATGCCCCAGGTGTTTTAGCATACCAGAAAGTGAGATTGAGAATGTAAAATTTTCTCATTGTCACCTTTCATTTGTCATGCTGTTACCACAATGCTAGGAAGCTACTGTGGAAGTAAATTACAATTTCTCTCTATGAGCCATTAACACAAGTACAATCTCATATACTGCACACTAATATGATCTGCATAGCTTTTTAACCATTTTGTGTTTATGATCCTGTTCAGTTCTCTGGTGTAGCATGGGTGCAATTTCCCAGGCACCACCTTATGGCCAGAGGTGTCGTGGCAGGGCCCTTCCTCTCCTCAGGGGCCCTTGGGAACAGCATATAGTCTCTCTAAGGACTATCACCAGGACTCCACTGACACTGGGTCAATAGCCCTAATTTAAAATAGTCTCAGTGCCCCGAACACAAAGTTCACCATAGTAGCCGCATAGTTCATATCCATCTCCAACACCCCTGTCATACACAGAGACCTTATTCCATTCAGCAGATGCCTAGCACTCAGTCTCCCCTCCTCTGTCCATACCCACCCCTGCAGCTGCCTGCTGCTTTTTCTATTGGCATCCTTTGATTTCTGCCAGTTGAGTCACATTGTGTAATCAGTGCTGGCTTAGCCCCAGGCTGTCCAGTCCATGGGCAAGCCACCCTGTTCCATGGGGCAAATGTTTCACCCGAGTAAAAACGGTCAGTAAAGGCTGTTCTGTAGATGTTGTTTATTATCATTGTCTCTGGGTGAAGGGACATTTGCCTCCACACAGTCCACAAGGCTCGGGGTAGAGGGAGGGAAACAACCAACCAAAAAAAAAACCCTTAATCATTTCATATTTGGAATTTTTCAAAATGGGTTTAATTGGATTTTATGGTGGGTATTTTTGTAAAGCACTATGCACAACAACAATGGGTTTCATTAACAATAATTTTCTCCCAAATTATTGGGTCAGATTCATCACTTTGTAATGCCACTGAAGTCAAATGAGTTACACTATGGATGAATTTGACCTTCTATATTTCCCTTGATAATTACGTTCTGAAGAAACAGTAGTTATTGAAATAAGGTACACGATGCTGCATGTTCTCTTTAGAATTTCTAGATTATATGTTTCCTCATTCAGTTACATAGTGTTTAACATGCACATCTTTTTTTATATGTGGGCCCTAGATCTCCCCTATGATCAGTCTGCTTTGTACTAGAAAGCAGCCAGAAAGCCAGTTAATCAGCTACTTGAAGGTTCCTTTGGGGAATATAGAGGCTTTCCTTCTTCTAGTTCACTGGTATAGAGGGTGTGGTCAAAGCACCACTACACTTCCAACTGTTCCCAGTTGCTGGAGTGGTCTGTTGGGGCTATAAACAGCTAGGTATAACTAAAAGCAGTCCCCAGACACAGCCCAGGATTGGGGTATCTTAAAGCCACTATTGCAATTACTCTGTACTTCTCAGTAACAGCTGTGCCCACATATTCCCAATATTAGATCACTTGAGAACCAGGTGTTTTTTTCCTACAACTTTTTTCTGTACATTTTTAGCAGATGTCATTTGAGTACCCTACTTCTCTTCACTACACTGTTAAAAGT